TGTCAACCGCCTCTGACAGCTTCGTAACATGTTACGAAGATACCAAAACTACTTCGTAAACGTTCATATGGTTACTAAATTCGAATTCAGCTAAAAAAACTGGCCTAGAAACATGTAAAACTCGAAAAAGTGAACCGAGGTCACCAAAGGTCAATGACCTGACCTGACCTTCAGATGACCTTGACACCCACCCTAATGCATGGGGGCAACATCATATCACATGTTTGAACGCTTGAAACCACGAAAAGACTGCAAACGCGCGGCTAATGCGAGCCGACATACGCCGAATCGCGATTCCGGCCAAACATGGTCTCGAAAAGTAGGTCACAGGTCAAAGGTCATTGGGGTCAGGGCCATGAAATTTTCAGGGTGGGTGTAAAATTGATCAACGCGAGGGTACTGAAAGTTTCGTTGCGATCGGCCGCATTTTACGCGAGTTATTCGCGAAAAACCATGGGGGGGGTCCGTTCGACACCCCCCTATACGGGCGAGGGTTAAGATGCGCTGAAGGGGGTCCCTTGGAGGTGGGGCGAGGGGCCTCGCAGTTGCCGTTGTGGGTGCCTTTAGAAACACTGGTGTGGACCGTGTGTCTATCACAGACGGATGTGGAGCCATAGCAGCCAATCCCTCGTTGGCCGTTACTACTTAGGGCCCTGAGCGGCCGGCGAGGTCTCTCAGAAACCGGCATTGGGCCTTTATGAAGATAATTGTGGCTACATAGGAGCCAATAACGTCTCCCCACAAGCCCTGGTGTCCTTCCGAGTTGAAGTGCGGCCAGCGCGAACCCTCTGCTACCAACTGGCGCCGCAGGGCCCCTCGGTTTCGAAGGAACCCTAAACCCGAGAACGGGCACGTACCCCCTCGCTCCCTTGCTATGTCACTGAATCCAAGTGATGGGACCCTTTAGGTAATCAGGGGCGTTTCAGATGACCAGGGGTTTTCAATTGATCAGGGGCCCAACAGGTGACCATGGGCCCCTCTGGTAACCAGGCGCCCCTTAAGTAACCAGGGACCCCATCAATAACCAGGGCCCCTCAGTAAACGGAGGCCACTCAGGTAAGTGTAGGAGTCCCGCAGATAACCAGGGCCGGCAAGGTTTCTCAGGTCCGTTTTTTTTTTTTTGACAAGGCTCTTATTGACTAAGGTGCGAGCCCTTTGCCATCAGCAGAGGGCCCTTTCAAGCCTTTTGAGGGCCGTTTAACGTCTCTTGAGTTCCCATTGAGGCCTTCTAAGGGCCCTTTGAGCAGTCGAGGGGCCTGTGAGGCCTTTTGAGGGTCTCTTGACGTCAGCTGAGGACCGTTGGACGCCAGCTGAGGATCGTTTTTGGGCCTTCTGATGGCCATTAGACGCCAATGGATGACCCTCTGACACCAATTGGGGCCCTCTGACACCAGTTAAGGGCTCTTTAAGTTTGACGCTAGCTCAGGGCCCTCTGACATTAGCTGGGGGGCCCTCTGACGCTAGCTCAAGGCCCTTTGACGCTCTTTAAGGCCTTCTGAGGACCCCTTGAGTTCTTCTAAGGGCCCCTTGAGGCTTTTTGAGGGCCGCTTGACGCCAACTCAGGGACCTTTGACACCCTTTAAGGCCTTCTGACGTCCGTTTGACGTTAGCTGAGGGCCCTTTGAGGCTATCTGAGGGCCCTTTAAGGCCATCTGAGAGTCCTTTGAGGTCATCTGAGGGCTCCTTAAGGCCATCTGAGGGCCCTTTGACACCATCCAAGGGCCCTTTGACACCAGATGAGGGCCCTATGACGCTAACTGAGGGCCCTTCGAGGCCATATGAGGGCCTTTTGAGACCATCTGAGGGCCTTTTAAGGCCATTTGAGGGCCCGTTGTACACCGTCTTCGGTGGTCTAAGGATCAGTTAGAGGCCCATTTGAGGCGGCCTTCGGCCGCCTCAAATGGGCCCCTTCCTTCGAGTTGGGCCCCCCAACTCGAATGGGGGGCACGGGCCCGTGTGCCCCCCCCCCCTTGTGTGCGCCCTTGCATGACAAATGCGAGTATGTGGGTCAGGCAGCATTTAGGGCCAGGTTGTGCTATGTTCTGGTAAAGGTCAGTTCACGTCAAAATTCAAACTTGATATTTTTGCATTAAATGGGTGTCGATTCGATGCAGCTCGTCACGGGGAGTCTAATGGTGGTCTTTATTTTGCTACGTGGTTTAGAATTGCTAAAAACTGAGTTTGAAAATTTGACGTCATCAATTTTGAACAGTTTGTTTTGCTATAACTTGGCTAAAAAAGAGGTGTCGATCTCAACTTTGGTATGTAGATAGAACATGGTTTGTACTATCATATTTATTACGTTTTTTATTAAAAAGTTTTTGAATTATTTGGCTATTATATCAAAAAATACTTTTTCGATTTTGGGTGGTCAAACTCTAAGAATTTCACAAATCCGAGATAACAGTTTTATAGCCCTGTCAATTCTACACCTGTTATGTCCGAACGTTTCTTTTGCATCTTTAACCCGCGCCCTGCTGGGGGGGGGGTGTTTGAACACCCCCCCTGTGGTTTTTCGCGAATATCTCAAAAACGGCGGCGCGGAGCGCCGCCGTTTTTGGTACACCTTACCATACATCAATTCTACACATGTTGTGAAAATTTCAGACCAAGGTCATTCAAGGTCAGGTCACCAGGTCACTTGAAGTGACCTCACCTCATAAAAACTTTCAATGTCTGTCATAGCTACACCGAGTGACCGATCGCTTTGAAACTTTCAGCGATTGCTAAGAGCAATAGCATGTACCAAATGTATATCTCAGAATTTTGATATCGATGACCTAAGGTCAGGTCAATTTTGCGACCTCCCCATTATAAGTCAATGGGAGAAAATTGAAATGCGCCTCTTTTGGATGAAAGACATTATAAACACTCCCAAACACCGAATTACAAGTGGTTTAGACACACTGAACTTGAAAATGGTGTCCGTGACCCCTGTTTATGCCCTGAGGTCATCTTAGGTCACGAATGGTATCTAACAGTTTTTCGCAAATAACTTTTGATAGAGGCATGCTAGAGCGATGAAAACGCCTTAGATGTGTTCAGCTCGACGATACGGATCGACTGATATGCAACATGACCCTTTCCGGTCAGGTCATGACCTTGACCTGAGGTCAAATTTTCAAGTTGACCTTTCAAGGTCAAGACATAGTTCATTCGATGCGTCTTGACGAGAGGAACACGATGCCGGTAAAAGTAAGCTCGTACAAGGCTTGGGTCAAAAGTTATTGCAGAAAAACTGTTTTCGAAAAAATCGGCTATTTTTGCAGTTTTTGCCCCCTGCAGGCAAAACCGTTGACGTTAGGTCAAATCTGAGAGAATTACTCAGAAAGGGCGTTAATAGGGCTATCGAATGCGCTTTTCCGCGGCGCTGTAGCTCTATTGGTTCCCGAGTTATGCGTTGGCTTCTTGGAAATTTTCGACATTCGACCTGGAAATCGGCGAAATTTTGCCTTCAATGACCTCTGGTGACCTGACCTTTGACCTGACCAAAAAATTGACCGAAGTGATTTCGTCATTATTTTTGACGCTCTTTCGAACGCCGCCTTCCGCGTATCGCTACGTGGCCCAGGAGCCGAGTTACAAGGGGGGGTGTTCAAACACCCCCCCCCCAGCAGGGCGTGGAAATCCAGGACCCCCAGCAGGGCGCGGGTTAAAGCTGTATGCCTGGCAGCTGCTCTTCTCGCGAAACCCTTTTTTTTGTCAAAAACATAAAACATAACGTCTCTCTGGCGTCATTTGCGGCTAACCTATCATAGCCTCTGAAACACAATGTGTGAAATCGATGTTCGGAGGAGTCCTGAAAGTTTGGTGACGATATAGGCAGCCGTTTTGGAGATCTACGGAAAAAGACGGGGGGACGTTTTGGCCCCCTACGGGGCGCAGGTTAACCCTCGCCGGCCGAGGGGGGGGGGCGGGTGCCGCCCCCCCCCCATAGGGTTTTTTCGCGATAGCTCCGAACACGCTGGCGATAGAGAGCTGAAACTTGGCATACCTGACCATTGATCCAAGCCGCATCTTTTGACACCAACCACATTTTTGGGTCAGGTCAGGTCACTGACCTATGACGTCATAAGTGAACCTCTGCACGGTCTTCAGATGTCGCAACTTCGCAACGCCCTCACTGCCAGAGGAGATGTCACAGGGAAATGAAACTTGCAGGATCTAGTATCCATTATGAGTCTCACAACTTGTATATCTCGGATTTTTCCTAAAGGTCATATGAGGTCAGGTCATTTTCGTGACCTCACCATTATAAGTCAATGGGGAAAAATTCAAACTGCTATTCTGGCGCCGGGAGCGATCTCCAACTATCTCAAGCACACAGAATCGTGATTTGATGCACTCCTTGCAAGGTTAGATGCGTCACTTTTGCAATGTTGACCTTCCGTGACGTCATTTATGACGTCATCAAGGTCATATTAGTTTTTCGTCAATAACTCCCGATCAAAATTGAGCTAGCGAGTCGGGAAAGCCACCAATGGACTCAGGAAGACCTGCCGAATCGAATGATATGCGACATGACCTCTTTCGACCAACTTCGTGACCTGGGGGTGCTGACCTGACCTTGACCTGAGGTCAACACCCTAAGTTGACCTGACCCGAACAAAAAGTATATCATTCGACGCGCCTGAGCAAGGCGAACACGATGCTGCCAAAATCGCGGCTCTGCGGCCGTTTTTTGCGAAGTTATTCACCAAAAACTGAACCGTACCCTGGGGCACTTGACCTGACCTCAGAGGTCACCGGTTGACCTAGGACCTTAAAATCGGGTACCAATATCTGCGTCTCGTAACGGCGCACACGCTCGTTTTTTCCGCGACGCGCTAGCTCCACCAGGGGCGAAACGGCGAGGGGGGGTCGTACCCGCCCCCCCCCCTCGGCCGGCGCGTATGTAGAAAACCAATAGGTCCGGCGAGGGTTAAGTGACCACCGACCAACACTGATGTTGGACGGTGACCTGTAACCTTTTTTCATTTATTTTCCGTCGGTGCCGACAGTCTGTCGGAGCTGGCGGTCCGCCGTCGACGGCATCCTCGACGACTGTCGGCGGAAGCTCGTCGACCGGTCAGATCGGGGGTTTAGCACTCCAACAATGACAAGTCTGCAGCTGGTGGTAAGGGTAAAGGACCAGCCAGATATGACCTCGCTGAAGGCGCCGATCGCTGAGACATACACAGACATCCGACTGGTCGGTAAGTCCTGTAATGGATTATGGAACACACTTAACACGATCTGATGACTAATTATCACGTGACCTGTCCAATGTCCATGTGATTATTACTTTACGCACAGTGTTGTTGTATTCCATGTATCCTATGACCTGTCCGTTTGATCGCTAGCTCACTGACGGTGGTACTGTATTCCAGCGGACAGTTGCCACGCCCTGCAGACAGCCGACCTGCGCGGCTTCAAGCTGAGAGTCTCTGCCCTGCGTCGGCTGGCGCGTGCCAACGCCTCCAGTTTGCGTGAGCTGACACTGCCGGCCGGCATCGGTGACTGCCAGCTGGAGGCGCTGCTGGAGCCACTGAAGGCTCTGGAGAGATTAAATCTTAGCCTACCCGTGAACAGCACCGGCAAGTGGCTGTGGCTGCTACCCAAGTCGCTGAAGAGACTGGACATCACTGGTAAGAGTGCCGTGCGGTACCAGATGACATCGTGCTGGAACAGAAACCGCGACTGCGGGCCGCTGCACTGAGACATTTGCTGTGTTCCTCTAGGCTCTGAATTCCCGCACTGTTAGAACAATTTACTGTTTGCTATTATGATTAACTTCAAGCTCCATATGGTGTACCTAGTATGCTTTGCCTAGTCAAGTGACCTTTTTACCAAGCAGTAGTTACATAAGCACTGGCGGTCGCAGCCGCTCGCAAAAGGGGGGGCCAAAGTCACACTCGCGGGACATAACATTTATCAGTCACCGGGGGGGGGGGGGCGGTGATCGGCTAATTTTTTACGTCCACGAGGCGCCGCGCAGTTGGCATAACTTATGCTTCATCCACCGCATTCTTGCGTGAAATCTTTAAGCTCAATTTAAGGCAAAAGCACCAGTTCCATTTCCCGTCCCACGGTGTTTCCACCGGTCGGGCCACTGCACCATGGCGACGGACCGGTGTAGCATATACTGGAAGGTCGGGCACGCGGATACATGACCTTACCACAATAAAACAATTCGGAAAAGTACGGATACCTCTTGCTTTGAACAAGCATGTGAAACCCAGAGATCATTTTCAGACTATGACATTTACCCATATAGCTGTTTGGCGGCGGGAGAGAATAGGTACACCGACCTCTGGAGACCCCCAGCCCCACAGGTTCCTGGTTTTCAAAATTGGCATCTGAGGGCCGCGCACGACTCGCGCGGGGCCTCGCAACGGCTCTATTGGGGCTCACTCAACCTGCCTTATAGTCCTACTGCTAAAAAGACTGGCCCTGAGCCCTAAGGACCTCATCAGTCTCTGCCAGCCCCAGGACCCACACCGGCTCATGGGGTCCCGACGTCGAAATATGAGGGAATCTGCGCGGGACCATCAGGACGTAAAGTAATCTCGATCAGGACCAACGTACGGCTGTGCAGGAGTCTGCGTAAGCCCTGTGATCTTCAAAAGCCCACCCATGTATGTTTTCACTTAGAGGCCAGTTTAGGGCCCTCAGAGACCAGTACAGGGCCTGCAAACTGCAAAGGCCAGTAGTTTGAGACCATCAGAGACCGAGTTGGGCTCTCGGAGGCTTATGTGGGTCCTACTCATTACAGGCCAACATGGGGCCCTCAGAGGTCAGCGTGGGGCCCTAAAAGACCGGAATGAGCCGTCGTTGGAACCCAGAGGCCAGCAGAGGGCCCTCAAAGGCCAAGATGAGCCCTCCTCAGAGGCCAATGCAGGCCCTTAGAGGCCAGCATCGGGTCTTCAGCAGCCAATGCGGGGCCCTCATTGGCATCTAAATGTTCGTCTTGGGACACCAGAGACAGCAATAAGGCCACTAGAGACCGGTGTGAGACCCTCAGACGCCGGTTGGGGCCCCTGAGGCCGGTAAGGGGTCCTCATAGGTCAGATGTGTGGGCTCTTAGCGGTCAACGTGGGCGCTTGACCGCCACTGAAGTTCCCTCAGAGGTCAGTGTTGGACGCTCAAAGACCGGTGTGGGCGTGTTTTTTTAGCCTCGTGACGATCGAATCAGGGCCAGGGTCCCATACACCTATGGGGGCCCATCGGTTGCTTGAGGGGGGGGGCAAATGATATGATGGCCCCCTTTATGTGCCTTGGGAGGGCATGGCCCTGATGCCCCCCGCGACCGCCACTATGTACACATTACATACAGGCCTCTGAAATTACATGCTAGCTAATGCAAACTCTATGCAGGCCCCGGAGATCCCACGCTAATCCTTAAGAAACCAAGCCGGCATACGGCGTCACCACCGGGCTTCTGAGGTGCACAGCACCAACCCATGAGGTCTTACTTTAGTGTCTTAGAGCCACGCTCCTTTGGCAGGGCCCACCCGCCACTGCCGAAGAGGTCTCATGCCAGCCATTGCTGGGCCTACGAGAGCCTCAAGTAAACCCACGCTGATATTCCATGTAAGATGCGGCCATACTCGTGAACCGGTGCCAGCGACGCTGACCGCCAAATTGACAGAATACGAAACTGAGCCCACTCATGAGTGAAATTTACGTCCTTTGATGGCGCAAGAAAGAAAATGAAACATACAAAAAGCTTTTCTAGGACTTTTGTTCGATCTGAAAGGTGGGGCCAAAAGATAGTATGGCCCCACCTTTCAGCACCAAAGGGGGGGCCATGGCCCCCGTGCCCCCCCCCCCGGGACCGCCAGTGTACATAAGAACATGTTGGATACTGGCTGCTACTGCATATCGGATACTGACTACTCTCCTGGCTTGGATGGATACTGACTACTGTGATGGGTAATGACTCTTCAGTCTCGACCATAGCACTGATTGCTCCTGTATTGGATACTAACTCTTCTGCGTGTGATACTGACTACTCCTATTTCCTGTGTTCGATACTGACTTTGTTTCTCTCCACAGGGTCCGGAATGACTCGGTCACCAGTGAGCTATGATTATCCTTATAGTATTAAACTGAGTGTCGGTGTACAGCTAGCAACCGACAAACTGCTGGACCAGCTGAGCGTTCTGTCGCACCGACAACCCGGTTACCAAGCTACCCATCTGGCCATACTTGGTGAGCAGCGGCAGCACGGACAGACAGTCCATTGAAGTGTCTTGAATGTTTTAAGTAGTATGTACCTCTCACTTGTACATTTTATGTCTAAGCCACTGTATGTCAGGTCTTGTTGATAGGCAATACAACTAACAACATTAATATTTAAGAATCACCGTTACTTGCTATATGTCGGTCCGGTCCCGTAGCTCAGGTGGTTAGAGCGTTGGACTCCGCGTGGTGAGAGCACGCGTTCCTGGTTGTGACAGTCCGGGTTCGAAGCGCGACGGGCGCTCGACATTTATGGGCCTCCTGACAGGTATGGTTGCGGTTGGTGGCAGGCCGTAGCCAGGCGAAGTCAGCGAGGGGACCGGCCGTGCGCGGCTTTGTGCGCACGTTAAACTTTGGACTCTAAATTCTGCCATAGAATCGGAATTGCGCGATCGGAGGGTAGAGGGCAGGGTCATCGCAACAAGCTTCGCTTAGCGGTGGCTCTGTCCTTGTGATTCCTTCCCATCAAAAAGTTTGGACTAAATTTATAAAAAAAAATGTCTCTGATCGTTCATATTTCACCAAAGTCACGGCTAAGTGCTACGGTTTTTTTTCATTTCCGTTCGTGCTTTGTTTTACAGTTTGATATTTGGACCTGAGCCACCGTGTACATACTACATATGTATGTATGTATGTATGTATGTCTGTGTGTTCAACAGTGTCCCCGTCCGTGACACCGGGAGCACTGGCACGTCTTCTGGCTTCCCTCACCAGGTTGGTGTACGTCAAACTTGGCGTGGTCGGCGCCACTTTGGAAACCACGCTGGCCGCCCTCCACGGCTGCTCTGGGTTGGGGGCCCTGCATCTCACAGACCCGCGGCCCCTCACGGACATCCCTGCGTGGACCGAGTCAGAGGTGGCAGCGGTCAGCAGGTCAGTCGGCCGGACGGCGCCGGCGTGTGTATGTACATACATACATATGTATCTGTGTAAACCGAGTCAGACGGACGGACGGACGGACGGACGGACGGACGGACAATGTCGATCCACAAAAGATTCGCATGGTCTTATTTGGTTATTGTCAGTGTTAACGTGCCATGAAGTGTTGAGCTGACCGCTGGTGCCACTGTGTGTCACTGTGTCTCGCAGGCTGACCTGTTCTGTTCTGTTCTGTTACAGGATGGCAGTAACCTGCAGGAAACTGGAGTACCTGTACCTAACCTCCTCAGCAGTAAACTGCCAGGCCGTCCTGACCGCCCTGCTGAAGACAGACCTGGGCCGTAACATCCATCTCCGTGTCCCCAGTGAGTGACGGCGCCTCTGACCACCCACACCAGCCGACACGGCGCCACCGACCTCTCTGGCATCCACCAGCACTAGACCTCACTAGCACTAGACGTCACTAAGACTAGACTTCACTAGCACCAGACGTCACTAGCACAAGACTTCATTAGCACTAGACGTCACTAGCACTATATGTCATTAGCACTTAGACATTACTGGCAGTAGACGTCACTAGCACTATATGTCATTATTACTAGAGGTCACTAGCACTAGACGTCACTAGCACCAGTATGACGTCACACATATCACATACGTCACAATGTCTTATCAAACATCAGTCTGGGGGTATGACGTCACTTACTAGAGGCCCATATCAGTATATTGTCAGTGCATCTCTCTAAGTGACGTCACACCATCAGCATGGGCTAGCTCTTTGTGACGTCACTGACGAGCGGTTCAATATACTTCGAATGTATTTGCACTGATTTGTTTATCATTTACCTAATCAGCCAGCATGGAACCATGGTTTATGTGAGTGACGTCACACCATTATGCATTAGCTGTTAATGACGTCACTCTAACGACTCATTGGCAGTGACTGCCTCTCAAGGTGACGTCACGTCATCAGTCTGAACTGGCTGTCTATGACGTCACTATCCGACGATGTGTGTAACCTGACCTGCTCTCCTTTCAGGGGCTATAAAGGGGCAGCTTAGCCAACCGCCCAACGGCAGTACGGTCTTCGTGGAGTACTTCGGCTAAACCCCCATCTGGCCGGCGCCTCGCCGGCTGCCGCGCCGGCGGTGGTGTCACATTCTGACAACAGATGGCAGCACCGTCTCCCGTCGGCAGCGCCGCACTTTGAGTCGTCCCGCCTTCACCGGACTGAAACACGGTCATTTTACCGCTGCATTTGAGGACAGGAAACCCCACGGAAAGGGCATGCGATAGATAGTGGTTATGTGACACGTTCCAACACAGAGATTTGTGGTTTTGTACGTTCTCGCGCGGTGTTTTGTGTCGCTATTGTGGGTCCTCGGTCCGGGTTATCCAGAGCACACATGTAGCTTACGTTGATAATTCTGCGTTATATAGCCAGCTTGTTCACTAATCGAGATAATTCCACGGCCTGGATTGCCGTCCAGCCATCGGAGAAGGCCTTTGTGACCGTGACGTCACGTGTGTACTCCCGTTGTTCAACTGAGTCGTGACTCACAGTGACTCTGTTTGGTGGCTAGTCACGACCGAGTGTGAAATACACGGCTGTTAATCACGGTGTCCGTCTCTGCCGCGGTGTGTTGTCGGCGTTAGTCCGTCGCGTTATGGAAAATACCCCAGTCATGCGCCGGTTAACTAGCATAGGGCTCCACGCGCGACTTTACTCCTGAGTTACTCAAATGCAGTATCAATGGTACCTGAGCAGTCCCACCTGGTAATTTTTGGAAGAGAACGTTTAACACCTATGTAGTTCACCTATTTAACACTGATCTAACACCTAGCGCAACCCTCACGTAACACTCATGCAACACTCACGTAACACTCACGTAACACTCACGTAACACTCACGTAACATTCACGTAACACTCACGTAACATTCACGTAACATTCACGTAACATTCACGTAACATTCACGTAACACGTAACAGTTATCACTCACGTAACATTCTCTACAATCAGAGAACACCTGGGTGGCATTCGGCTCAATGAAGTTGATGGTGTTTTTGCGAGGATGCAATGAGCATAAAAATGGGAATAAACGTTGACCTTCTTCTCGAACTCGCCTTAATTAAGGCGACAGAAAGGTAGATGATGACATTTCAAAGGCAGAACTGTTGAATAACGTGTTTGCGAGCAAATTCACCGTTTCGTCTGTCTCTGACGTACATATGGATTAAGCGGTAGGTTTTGCACTTTTACATTTCCGGTTATATCTCAGAAACTAATCGATCTACGATGAAGCCATTTTACACGATCATGGCAGGCTTGTGAACCAACAAGTCGATCGCATCTTCAACACTTAAAAGCTTAAGACGACGAAGATATAGCCTGAAGTACACTAAATTTTCTAGGTGCAAAACCTACCGCTAAAACCCGCGAGACCTGTACCTCAAGCGCCTGTGTATAATTTAGACTCTCTGCGATGCTTTGATGTATCTACTGAGAACGTTGGAGCCATAATTATTGAGAGCCATGGATCCAGAAAAAATTGTGTTGTGTTGTGTTGTTGTGTTGTTGTTGTGTTGGTGCAGTTGAATGTTGTGCAGACTCTCTCTCGGTCAAGGCGTAGTCCCCAAGGTGTGGAAACGCGCCAACATTGTGCCCATGGCATAAGAAAGGCGCCAAAAGCTGAACTACCACTCAGTATCGCTGCTGCCACTGTTTGGTAAGGTCTTAGAGCGTGTCGTGTTTGCCGCCTTGTACGATCACGTGAGGCCAGCTTTGTCAGATAGGCAACACGGTTTCATGCCCGGTCGTTCGTGTGCATCGAATCTGTTGACGATGCTAACCGCTGCCTGGAACAACGTCGCAGCTGGGTCTCAGACAGACGTACAGGGTGTCCCATAAGTTCGTTCTCACCTTTTCAACGCCAAAAACGCAGCAATGGTTGGTACGTCAGCCATGTACTCGTATTAGGTACCAACCAGGGCTGCGGAGTCGATGGATTTTCGGCGACTCCGACTCCGACTCCGACTCCGGCTTTCAAAAACCAGCTCCGACTCCGACTCCGACTCCGGGCAGAATTGTCGACTCCGACCGACTCCAACTCCCGACTCCGACTCCCACTCCGGCTCGGGTTTCTAAAATCGACTCCGACTCCGACTCCGACTCCGGTCACAACTGTCGACTCCGACCGACTCCGACTCCGACTCCGACTCCGCAGCCCTGGTACCAACATACCCCCCTTTAAGTGCCAAACACCTGGCGACCCTCTGCGGCATGCTCTCCACCAGTCTCTTCAGTGTGGACCTCAATGTTGGCCCATGCTGCCCTGAGCCGCGCGGTGAGCTCCGCCGCGCTGGAGGACGGCGGGGCAGAGTGGAGCTCCTGTTTCAAAATCCCCCAAATATTTTCCAGGGGGATTTAGATCAGGGGAGTTCCCGGGCCAAATGCCCTCCTCCCAGAAACCTGGAACATGCACCCGGCACCAGTCTTGCGCGAGTTTCGAAGTGTGCGGTAGTGCACCATCCTGTATGAAGGTCGGACTTGACCTTTCGGGAACCATTTTTGCCTCCAGAACGGAGCCTCTTGTACCCGAACGGTCAAGAGATGGAAGAAGCGACTTTGTGAGGATTTCGTCAACATAGTAAGCAGCATTAACGGTCTGACTCTTTGACACAAAGTGCAATTCTGTAAGCCCCTGGGCGCTCATTCCACCCCAGACCATGACTTTGTCTGGGTTTTTCACTGCGGCGGAACGTCATCAATATTACGGGCCCACACGCGATCATTCTGCGGGTTTGAGGTATGCAAAATTTCAAAGGGTGATTCGTCACTCCATATGACTTGCTTGAATTTGTCGACGGTCCAATTTCTCACCATTTTGCAATACTTTATCCTGTGCTTTCTCTGTTTTTCTGTGATTTCCGGTTGGCGTGGCCTTCTGTAGGATTTAACGCCCACAAATTTTGTCATGTGCCGGTGAACTGTGCTCTTGGGCACTTCATAACCCTTTCTGGCTAGTCGTTTTGCCAACTTTCTGACGCTTTGGCCCCTTCTTCCAACTGCTTTTTGACAGACGATTTTCGCGACCATGCTGACTTGGTTTGGACGGCCAGAACCAGGCCCATGTCACTCCACTTTTGATGACATCATAAGGGGGCCTGAGGACAACAATGGCGCGGTGCGCCACAATCGCTTCAAAGCTACTTGCCAACAGTTGCCATTTTTGAAAATATTATTTTGAAATAAAGTTACAAGTTATAAAAATATTGTAATGAAGTTGTTGATTAAATCGATACCATATCTAAAAACTTACTGAAAAATGATTTATTCATAGTAAAAATATAAGCTCGATGCGTTTTTACGTTGCTTTCATGGAACTGCAGAGGATTTTTAAATCGTCTTTATCTTCAAAACCGGCCATTTCTTAGCATATTGATGCTCTTTTTTATCGCTAGAAAATTAGTTGGACTTTCAAATGACATCAACGGTTGAGCAATATGTGTATAGTGTCACCAACAATCTTCAAATGAAGTTAGTCATTTTTACGTTGTAAAGGAATGGAGCACCCCTTGCGAGCATCAGGGGTGACGTCACTCAAGATCTGTCTCTGATTGGTCGGCGGGAGAGTGACTGTACCTTCTATAGATGGCCTTGGCCAGAACGTTCTTCGTCTGCCATGGTTTTACCCTCGCGAAACCTTCTCCACCACTTATTGACAGTACGACGGAACAGTCCAATCCTACAGGCAACTTCTCCCTGAGTGAGCCCAGCTTGGACCATCCCCACAGCCCGAGAACGCAGCGCCTCTCTTGACTCGTCCATTTCTGACACCTATCGGTCCACAACTGACCTGGGGTCGGGAACCTGACCTCTTCACGGCGCCACGTGTGCCCCTAGGTGCTTGGTGACGGCACGCACGGTGAACCACCATGGTTAGAGGCCTCACCAAAAGTTTCAATTATTTTTGTTCAGTTTTGGTCATCCTAGCGAACACAATAGCTAAAAACAGGTGAGAACGAACTTATGGTACACCCTGTAATTTACACAGACTATAGTTCGGCCTTCCAAAGTGTCAATCATAAACTACTCCTGCATAAACTTCAAAATTCCTATTAACTGTGTGGCAGTGCTCTTTCTTGGTGCAAATCTTATCTTTCTGAACGAGAACAGCGCGTTGTGGTGAAAGGGAAGTGTTCGCGGTGGACACCGGTACCATCCGGCACACCGGAAGGTGGCCTGTTGTCGCCGCTATTATTCGCCTGCTTCATCAATGACCTACCAGACTGCGTCCAAACCGATTGCGTGATGTTCGCTGACGATGTTAAGCTGTATGGCAAGGTAGACACCGTCGCGGACGCAGCTTTTTTGCAACAGCAGCTTGACGACCTGAACCGATGGTCTGTGCGTTGGCAGCTCACGCTGAACCCAAGTAAATGTAAAGTACTTACCCTAACTTTACGGCGCATCCCAACAATCAGTATTTACAGCGTGGGAGGCGAACAGCTTGAGAGAGTGAGCGTGATGCGCGATATAGGGGTCCTGTTGGATGAGAAGCTCACGTTCGGTGAACATGTGGATACCGCTGTTCGTAAGGCGAATAGGGCACTAGGCGTACTTGTGAGGTCCTTCCAAACTGGCAAAGGTGGCAAGTCACTGCGATGTTTCAATGTCAAGCCTGTGCTGGCTACCTACTGCGCCATACGCTCCATTCTTGAGATACGCTAGTGTGGTATGGGGAGGAGCCGCAGAGGTGCACATGACTCGAATAGAGCGCGTGCGTACAGCATAAGTTTTTAATATGGTTATCTGGCAGGTGTGGTGTCTGGGGCGTGTCTTTCGAGTACGATGCTCTGCTCAAATACCATCACATGCCACCCCTCAAGGTGCGGCGTCAGCAGCATGATATAATGTTCATCTGCAATGTTCATCGTAATGCTGTGGACTCATCGTATCTGCTGGAGTGTTTCCCGCTGGCCGTGCCGCATCGCCCCCTGCGAAAAAGGGTTCTCTTCCATGTACCGTACGCGCGGGTGGACACAGTGATGAACAGTCCATTCCGTCGTATGCCAAAGCTCTGCAATGGCTTCTTGGACAGCAACCGTGAGATAGACGTGTGGACGAGCAGCGCTGCGTCTTTTTGAAGTCTCATGTAATTGCCCATGTTCGTAAGTAAACACTGCTATGATTTGTTTGTATGTATATGTGTATTTATCTTTGTGTCGGCATATGTAAGTAGTATTTTTAACATTCGACTCCATCTGTAATTGGGCCTTGATTCTATGCCAGTTGATGATGCACTCAATAAACTAAACTAAACTAAACCACAGGTCAATATTTCAGGAGGGTTTAGGGGGTATATGAATGTAAAAGTTTGCTAAAACACGTGAAAGGTTTTTGGCTGATCACTTTTGGTCTAGTACCTAAAGGTAGAGCAGAAATAAAGGCAACAGCGAACTCAGCACGTCTATGCGCATTGAATGTTTTTGCCAGTTTAAGGGAATTAAAAAAAAAACGTTGCACTTATCTCATATTTTTACAATTTGACCCATTCGGTAAATTTTCTTAAAATTTGTCATGACCTCTGTATGTCCTCAGGTCAACCGAACTTGAA